AGTACACATGTCGTGACACGGTATTTTTTTGTGTCCTCTCCGCGTACACAGATGCACGTACTTTAACATTTTAGGGCAAAATAATGCACCGCGACACGGCAATCTATACTGTGTCGCGGCACCCTCTGACCGTGTCACGGCAGACACTGACCGTGTCACGGTGCCCCAAATTAGGGTTTTTATTCTTTTTAGGGTTTCGTGTGTTCCCTCTACTCATTTTCTCTATAAATACCCCCCTCCTTTCTACAGTTTGAGGCACCAAATGATTCTCTCCTCCTCTCTTCTACACCAGAAATTATTCTCTTCTCTCTCTCTCATACTCTAAGCCTTAAACCTATATTTCTAATTACGTTATTTCTTCCTTAAGCACTTCAAGGAGTGCATACTTAACCTGAGGTTCCGTCCTTAAACCAAAGCGTGAAAGGTATAGTTGACTGAGGGTTTGGACCAAATCAACTCTACTTTTTATTTAATTTAATTGTTTTAATTTGATTTATAATTTTTTTGAAGTTACTAATAAGTTATTCATGATGTACCAATTTTAAAGAACGCGCGTAATGTGAGTAATTAATTAATTAATTAATTACTTATTTTATTTTTATATTGCTAGTATCATGATTAGCTTAATTTATATTTGATATGACTAACAATTTATTGTTGAATTGCTTCCAATATTAATGTTTATTCTATTATTATATTTATTGATCACTATATTGCATGTTTAAAGGGAATATGTAATTGAAAACCACGTCTACTAAGATAATGGAAAAATTAGAAATAATAATCCCAACTTTGATGAATTTTGTCAGACTAATCCCAACTTTGGAATATCATGGAATAATCCGAACTTTGGGGGTCCCTCTTTTTCTTCAATCCCAAAAACTGGTGACCGGTTAAATAGGTTAATTTTTTTTTAATAAAAAGTGACACGTGTCATATGTAAATTGGTTAAAAAAAATTAATAAGAAAAAAAATTATAAACAAACAAAAAAAATAAAATCTTCAAAAAAAAAACAAAAAAAAAAATAAAAAAAAAAAACACCCAGCGAATCAGCGATCCCAACCAAACTCCCAGCTCCGGCCTCCGGCAACCCCTCAACGCCGGAAGCTGCCCCAACTCCGCTGGTTTTCCCCTCCTCTTGCCTGAACGTCGCCCCCACTATTACCCCTCCTCCCGTCGGCCAATTGCCCCAGCCACGCACGAAACGCCTTCTCTTTTTCTCTCTCCTCTCAATTGCCCCCAGCCACTAAACCCGACCACCTGTGCACCGCCGCTCGCACACTCCCTTGAAACCCGTCTCCTACTCCCTAACATACCTAACCCACCCCTGAAACCTTCGTTTTTGTTGGTGGGTTTTGGGGGTTTTGACTGGTGGCGATTTAGGGGTTTAGGGGATGCGATTTTGAGTTTACGATGGTTATGTGGGGTCGGTGATTTTGCAGGTTGCGTGGGGTTTCAGGGAGGAGGAAAACGGCGACTCAAGGAATGAGGGAGACGCCGCGGGATAGGCCGTTGTGGTGGTGGAGGTCAAGGTGGATTAGAGGAGTGGCGCGCTGGGCTTTGGTGGTGGAGGTTAGGGTGGCTGGGTGGGGGAAGGGGTAGCTGGATGTTTTTCTGATTTTTTTTGTTTTTGTTTTTTTTTTAAATGGACCAATCAGAACTTGACACGTGTCAAGTTACCTGATATAATAGGTCATTGACTTTTATTGACCGGTTAGGGATTGAAGAAAAAGAGGAATCCCCATAGTTCGGATTATTCTATAATAATCCAAAGTTGGGATTATTCTAGCAAAATTCATCAAAATTGGGATTATTATTTCCAATTTTTCCTAAGATAATTTGGACAACCGGCTTAGGTTCCTTTTTAATATTGTTGTTTAATCAAGTGATCACTAATATTTTAGAATTATGTGTTGCATTAATATTAAACCAATTTAGCATAATAATAGTTTGGAGCAAATTGAATATTTTGTTTACATGCCTTTGAGATCGTAGGAATCACTTTTCACTATAAGAATCGAGTAGAGGCCAATACGGGCGAATGTGACTCTGTGACTCACTTCGTACCATCATCCCCGATCCTCCTTTTGTGGTTCCAAACCATATGGAGTTAGTAATCTTATGGATTATGAATGGGGTGTAACCTTCACAGGTCAATCGTTGTTGCCTTTTGTTGTCCCTTAATCATGATTGCTTTTTATGATCCGTGAATAGTTTACAAGTTCCTTAAAAACTTGTTGGCAGCTCCCTACTTTCCTTGTCTCTAATCGTATTATGTCAATTCTTACTTCCTATGAGTGCCAAGCATATAAACAAGATGCTAACGTAGGCGCACTTCAAACGACGCCTACAACTGGTTAAGTTTTTAAAGGTCATTTTTATCCCTTACGGATCTAATTTAAGCTGATATTTTGCAAAAAAATAACGTAAATACCTCGTTTTGCAATTTTATAATGAAAAAATAACGATCTTAACATGCAAAATAGGGAATTTACATTATTTTTTTGCCAATTCCGAGCTTATTTTGGATCCATAAAGGAACCAGACCGCCTAAAAATTACCTTGACAATTTAAACAGTTAAAAAAAAATGACACGCTAATCAAGATATTTCTTGCCACACAACACGGAGCACTAACGTTATTTTTTTCCTATTCTGAGCTTAATTTGAACCCATCAAAGGGTCAAAATAACCTTCAAAACCTTAATCTATCAATTTTAATAGTTAAAAAATGACTCTTTAATCGAAATATTTTTCAACACACAAAACGGGACATTTATGTTATTTTTTTGCCAAGCTTAATTTGAACTCTTTAATTAACAAAATAACCCCCAAAACTTTACCCGAGCAATTTTCGTCATGAAAATCGAGAAAAAAAAATGTTATTTTATTAATTTAAATAAATAATTAAAAATGAACTAATCATATCGGGACATGTGTCGTGCTTAAACCCTAATGACTAACAGAGTTAACGACCGTTAATCATTAATGGCACTTGGTGAATTTTTTAAACTCGGTGGCATTTGGTAAATTTTGAAAACCTTGATTACATTTGGTGAATTATTAAAATGCTTAGTGGCATTTGGTGAAATAGCCAAAAAAAAAAAAAATACAATCACCTTTATTTCCCACTCCGGCTACCGATAAACCTTTCCTATCTCCACCTCCCTAGCACCACCGAAAACCACTCTCTCCCTTGTTTACCACCAACACCGTCCCCAACAGCCACCCTCAAACCCCTAACTCGCTGTCACTCGTCGCACAGTGTAACCCTCACCACAAAATGGAGGTAAAAGTTGGGATTATTGCATAATAATCGATAGTTGGGATTATTTAAAGTATATCAGTCAAAGTTGGGATTAATTAAGTACTGTATATTTATCCTAAATTAATTAAGGAACAATTGGTTATTGCCTAAAAAAAGAAGTAATAATTGGTTATTATGATATATTTATTTTGGGAAAATACAAGTTAATCTGCTAGATTAACGAATTTTTGTTAATCTGATGACATTTTTATAAATATATTGAAAAATCAGGGTCATTTATTCAGTACTTTTGATGAGATGTCCAATTACTGTTTGCAACTTGCTTTTACTGTTTGGTGAGGAAATTAACCATGTACCCCTCAACTATTACATGAAAAGACGCATATACCCCTCCACTAGTATTTGAAAAGACAATTATACCCCCATATAAACATTTATGATACATTTATTTTTGTATTTCATTTAGGATATTTTAGATTTTAACACCACACAAAAACCCTAAAATGGTTTTTAACACCTCCAAAAAAAAATTGATTTTAACACCACACAAACTAACAAAAAATTGGTATTACCACCACTCAACGGATTCCTAAACGAAATCAGTTAAGTGCCACGTGTCGCTTTCTTATTGGCCAAATAAAAAAAAAAAAAATCAAAAGACCTAAAACTACCCAGCCACCCTAGCCCCGCCGCCGCGCCACCATCACCTAACCACCCACCCACCCCTGCCCTCCCAAAAACCACCACCAGCGACGCCTTCGCTCACCCAACCTAGCTGAAACCTCCCCCTCCCTTTCCCGCAACCGCTTCGCCCCCAAAAACCACCTAACCCAAAACCCTCCTACCCTAATACGGTCACGATTCCGGCCAAAAATGGTCGAAATCGGCCGATTAAGGCAACTCAACCCCAAAACCGGCCGATTTCGTCCAATTATGGCCGGAATCGCGATCGTATTGGGGAAGGAGATTTTGGATTTGGTCGTTTTTGGGGGCGAAGCGGTTGCGGGAAAGGGAGGGGGAGGGTTCATCTGGGTTGGGGGTGTGAAGGCGTCGCGACCGGTGGTGGTTTGGGGGAGGGAAGGAGTAGGTTTGTGGTTGGCGGTGGTTGCGCGGTGGTGGGGCTAGGGTGGCTGGGGTAGTTTTAGGGTTTTTTATTTTTTTTTAATTTTTAAAAAAAAATTTAAACAACTAAAATGGTGACACGTGTCACTGAGGGCCCCACTTAACGGAAATTTTGGTCAGAATCCGTTAAGTGGTGGTATTACTAATTTTTTGTTAGTTTGTGTGGTGTTAAAATCAAATTTTTTTTTTTTGGAGGTGTTAAAAACCATTTTCGGGTTTTTGTGTGGTGTTAATATCTAAAATATCTCAATCCTTTCATTTATGATATATTTATTTTTGTATTTCATTTTATTTTTTTTTATCTGGGGAATTAACTAGGTATCTCTCATTTATTTTTGTATTTCATTTTATTTTACTTTTGTATATTTATTGAATACATTTATGATATATTTATTTTTGTATTTCATTTTATTTGTTTATTGAGAATTGAGATACATATTATAGTACATCACATGTATATTGTTTTATATATATATTTATATATATATATATATATATATATATATATATATATATATTTTTTTTTTTTTTTTTTATTTCCAATAATTATGTTTTGTATGCAACTTTTCTAATAAACGATTATGGGTGCTGAACTAGTTGGCAATTACACTTGACACCTGTAATATTGATCACGTTTTTATTGAGGAAATAATGCAGAATCAGATATATGCCATATAATAACTCAATTGTACGACGCATAATAACCTGCACATATGATAAGGGGAACTAAGGCAACTAGACGGAAAAGCCTTGGAGAGCTCTATCCAATAGGTGACGCAAAAGAATGGCTATCAATAAAATATTCATCACTCATTCTCTTCACTTGAGCTTATCCCTTTCTTGTTTTCCTTTTCATTCCCTTACAAATGTTCATTATTTACAGTATCGAATAAGCTCGGATGACCTCAACAATGGGTGCCCTGCACAAAGGGCACTTGCCTCCACCACGAACCAACTCATTCGCACACTTCAAACAGGTGCACATGTGGCCACATCTGTGAAAAGGAAAATATATCAAAGAATAAACAACCACATGTATTCATTTCAAACTGTACTCAATTTATAGGAGTGTTGTACGATAAAAAGAGATAGAAAAGAGCCTGTATGAGGACTTGAGGTATAGAAAAATCAATTCATTCTTCTATAAGACAAAATATATACAAGACCCATGTTGACATGTAATGGGGAGAGAATATAAGAGTTCCCATGAGACGAGGTCACGAGGAGATATAAATAAGGGAATGTTTCAAGTTGAGTTATTTCAAAACAAAAAAGAATAAGGGAATGTTTCAAGTTGAATTATTTCAAAACAAAAAAAAAATAAGGGAATGTTTCAAGTTGAATTATTTCAAAACAAAAAAAAAGTGAAGGGAATGTTTCAAGTGTAAGTTATTTCAAAACATTAAAAACACGAACACACACACCTAAATTTAGCAAAATATAGAGTAAAATTACAACATACCTGTACAACAGAGAATCAATATGGTTATCACAACAAACACAACATGTCCCCTTCCTCACATGTCCCCATCTGGAGCCGTCCTCTGAGGTCTCAGCACCTGAACCATAAATAAGTTAGCAGTAGACGTTTGTCATACACCCTAAGGTAATCAATTAATGTTGAACACAGTTGGAGGGGAGGGGAAAGGAGGAGGGTGTAAAGCAGTTCCAGTCCCAGGCGTGCCAACAACAAAAATTCTTAAGAGATTCTATATTTCATTCATTAACCCTTCACTTCATATATTTTAGGGGTAATTTGGGAAGGGGATTTGTCAAACTTTTACCAGGAAGAAAACATAAGAGTGGGGTAATGAAAAGAACCTTGTCCACCAGTACATCGATTTAAAGCTGCAGAAACCTCTTGCCGAACAGAACGCTGCAACTCAACCTGCATGTCCATGCAGGCTTCAAGCATCCTCTGCATGTGGTTCATACCTTGCTGAAGCCTAGCAACATCTGCTCGAAGATCATTCATCATCTCCCACTCCTGTCAACGGGCAGACCCAATTGTAAAGACCAGACCCAATATCATAAAATCATAATGGATTGTTTGAATATGAGCCCTTTACAAGTAAAAGCAAGAAAGGTGATGACAGAAAAGATTAGAAGATCAACAAAAGATCACAGTACTCATCATTCCCATCATACAGTAAGGCCCCATTTGGCTTGATGTAAAATGTTTCATGGAAAATGATTTTCCCTTTTTTTGGTTTGTTTTGTAAAGGGGTGGAAAATAATTTTTCCAATGGTGCAAAATTGCATCCTTAATGATAGGAAACATCTTACTTTACAAAATAAGAGAAGCCACATTTACTTCCCACCTCATTTTTACTTACCTCTCATCCATCCTCACATTCCCACTCCTATTTTTGATTTTTCTTGAACTTTTCTTGTATGCAACCAAACAAATAAAAATTAAATTGCAATTCTGCTTTTCCTTGAAAATATGTTTTCCATGAAAACTAATTTTACATTGAAAATGTTTTACATCAAACCAAACGGGGCCTAAATGTGCATGCCAACATCAGACAGATATAACTGAAGTCATCAGTACTAGCCATCTTAAAGGCCATATCTCTCAACATCATTCACCTCTTATTCAAACTTGAAGACGGCCATACTACAAATGGAAATTTTGATGGTACAACTTTAGAAGGTTGGATCCTGCTTTCTGAAGAGATTCCAAACTCTAATGGATTCCTGTGATCCAATGTAGTTTTGCTTCACTCTTGAAGTGGGATATTTAACAAGTTCGTGTTATCTCTTTTTAGTTTGCATCATTGATTTTTAAAGTTCCAAGTTATTTTCGTTTGAATTAATTGTTCATTTGTGAGTTATATTTGATACATGAGAAAAACTTGGATAGCAAATACAATTAAAAGGGTTATGCATTGGTAGTTCACAAGCTTATTGATCATAATTGGTGACCTTGATTGGTTGATGATGTTAAAGTTTATACGAAATATGTATACTAAACAGATATAAGGTTCACACATTTAACTGAAGCTAATTGTTTTCCTACTCAACTCAGGAGTGTTACAAAGTTTATAAAGTCGGAATATCTTCACTGAGGATTGATCTGAAATTATTTCAGTAGACAGTAATCTGAAACTTTCAAATCTATCCTAGTTACTTTCATTGGCGGAGCCACATTAGAACAAGGGGGGACAGTTGTCCCCCCATTTTCGAAAAAAAAGTTTTTTTTTTTTTAAAAAAAAAAATCAAGAAAATACAGTAAAAGGCTATAAATATCATATACTTACAGTAAATATCACAATATTAAATATGGTTTGGTGGTTGAGTCCTTAGTAAGGCTGTGCCTTGGTCTTAGGTTCGATTCCCTACTCTACTATTTTTCAGCTTTTTTGTTTTTTTTTCCCCTACTTGTTTTTTGATTACTCTAATTTTCAATAGTCTTTTTAATTTTATTTTTCATTTCCTATTTCTTGTTTTAGGATTTTTAATTTTATTATGTGCTTAAACTCTATTTTTTTACATTTCTAATAAATAGATTACTATTAATTAATTGTTTGTAACTGTGTTTTAACTTTTATTAATACATACGAAATACATATGTAATAATATGATTGATTTGAGAAAGTTGAGTTTATTTTTTCGAATGTAACTCAAACCCAGACCCTTCATATCTACCATCAATTTGTTCTAACGATAATTATTTGACTTTATGATAAGGTAATTAATTCGTATATATCAATTATGTGATTACATAACGGGATTTACAAACATAAATTTATTCATTTTTGTTGGATAATTTTCTTAATATACAATAAAACTTTTTTATTCCTCTTTTGCCATATAGAAATAATTGGCATATGTGATTTCAAATAAATATTAAACAATTTAGGTGATCAATTTTTTTCTTGAGATTTTTGCCGAAACTTTAACCTCCAAAATTTGTCCCCCCGAATTATAAATCCTGGCTCCGCCACTGGTTACTTTGATCATTATTGAAGGACAAATTTGGAACTTAATAACTAAATAAAATCTGTATCACTGACCCTTTCTTACCTAATGAGTTCATATCACATGGCAAGACTATGAAGTTAACTAGAACATAAGATTGAATACTATAAATGCAAATAGGCTTACCAGCTCTGAACGATGCATGCTATGCCTAGACCAGTTAGCATGATGAATAGTCCGTTGCCAGAGGGGCTGTGGAGGTGGTACAGGTGGAGATGGATGAACAAGAGGCACTCGATTGTCTGTATCACTGGCATTTGATTCCTCTGGTTGAGACTCCAGATCACGCCGTGATGTAACAGAAGTGGGCAAATTTCTATGAAGATCCAAATCAATAGGAGCACGACCTTGCCTTTGCACATAAGATTGTATCAATTGGTCCAGACTTTCACGGAATCCACTATGAAGAAGAGTTGAAACACTCCTCCTGGAAGAAGAGGAACCAAACTTCAGGTGTTTAAAGAGATCAATGCTATTACTACCTCAGTTTCTCAACGTTCTTGATTGTAACTAGTTACACGAAAATTAAGAAAAGCAAAAAGAGAGAAGTTTTGGGGTTGCAAGTGGCAAAAGTAGGTCCTGTGAGTGAGTACTGGAGGTAAAAGTGAAAATTAATTGCAACAATGGAATGAAGTAAAAGTGTAAAGAAACAGGAATGGGTCCCTTATTTTTTATCTCTTAGTATTACTTTATATCTATCTCCTCTCCTTAAAAATTGTGCATCCCTCCCACATTGCAGTTAAAAGAGAACAGAAGAAATATATGCTATGTACTCTATTTTAATTGCAATAAGATAACTTTCATGCTTACTAACGCATAACTCTGATCATATTATTATTAGTATTCTTTAAATAAAATATTATTAGAAGTTGATATTTTAAAACCATACATTGAGGCTAATCGAAATATTTTAGAATAATGATTTTTTTTAGGTTAGTAAGAAAATGTAATCAAAGTTTGTGCAAGTGCAAAAATCAAAATGGTGCAATCAACATTAAATTGTCAAAACATGTGTTATTACACATCTAAAAAACCATACATATATTTACATATTATATATTAATGTGTATGACACTTATAAAGGTTTCAAAACTAGTACTCGTATGCATAATAAATTCATACACCAGAATGCATACCTGCTAAGCAGTTCACGAAGCTCCATGCTGTAAACATTATCATCATCAGGAAGGTGAAATCTATTGACTTGTCTAGTTGAAATGCCATGTCGAATTCGTGGAGGATTAGAAAACCCTCGAGACGAAGTCCCTAAAGTTGTTCTAAAACCATTGTCAGGCCAAATTTGTTGACCAGTTAAATTATTCTCTTCTTCACTATCATTCCCCTCAGCAGTCGGCCGCCAAGCATTTCCTGCAGTTTCCTGCCAATTAACATTCATATTTGACTGCGAGTTATCACTCCATTGATTAAGAACCGCAGAATTTGACTGCAGCAAGCTCCTCTGCTCATCTCCTGTGACCTGTTCCTGCCAATCCCCCTATGAATAGCACTTTCTTCCCCAGCCAAGAGATCAGCAGAAGCTTCATCAGGCAAAATTATGGTATTATTTGTGAACTCACTAACTCCATCACCATGAACCCTAGATTGCAGTTGGTGCGAATTCAAACCATGAACCTCAATTGGAATGTCAAGTCGTTCCTGATCAATTGGAAAATCACTACCTGGATCGCCAAATGAGGCCCCAGAGTTGCTCATTGTTTGACCATGTACAATAGTTTCTAGGCTGGACTCTCTAGAGCGAAAACCTTCTCTGGAAAATGGCATAGTGTAAGACTCATTCATAAAATTTCGAGCACAAATATTAAATTATTTAAGATCCAGGTAACAGGCACCTTCATTCACCCAACTTTTGAATTGAATTAACAATTTTAAAATCTAAACTGCATGACTAGCTACACACATCATTCAAAAAGATATACACAGGAAATCCATTGGGAGTCTTGAACCAAATAGATTTAAAAAACTATCATTCGGGGGAAAAGAAAAAGATAAACAAAGAGTCAATAAGTAATAAGGTATATCTACTACTGCAGCCATATACTTATGATTACACAGGATTTTATAGATGTAAACAACACATTCAAAAGCGGGTGTAGCTTGCATTATACAAAACAAGGGCCTGGATAAAATCAATCCCTCATTAAAAGACAACAGTTCAAAATTAATGATAAGCATGCAGAGCATGCATGCTAAACAAAAGAATCAATCAAAACTCCTCAAAGGGAGGAAAACTAATTCCTCCGTGATAATCAACCACGGTTTGGCTCTTTTGCAGGTTTGCCCCTTTATATTGATTCACCAACCTCCCATCCAGAATTCAACATTTCTCTCTCACTTACTCATAGCCTCCTATTCTCTCTAATCATCTAGACTCCCCCTCTCAACTTACTTCTCCATCTCATCACTCAATTGCAAAGGTTGGGGGTTTTTGCAGCTCCAAATGATTGCCTGACTAAAGCTTAAATAATAGGCGATATTCAGTTCAGGTTTTGTTTAACCTGAACTTTTTTTTCAATTAATGGGGTTTAGCTTAACAGAATAATTTTCCTGATTCAACATGAATAAAATAGGTTTTGGTTATTTTTTTTAAATGTAGTAATAGGACCACTGGAATTATGAATACGTAAAACTACACCGAACTTGATTTCAGTAATTTGTTATTCATTGACTTTGATGGTTTTATTTATTTACTAATGTTCACTAACATTAGTTTTTACTCAACCAGTTGCACACTTCCATTTTTCTAAAATATGGGTGATGTAATCCCAATAGATTCCAATATACAACTAGGATTTCCTTACTCCCCAAAGCTATTGTTTTCTCATTTGCTCATTTGGAAAGGTATACCACGTGCATGGTATACCCATGTGTATAACAGACATCATGTTAAATTCCTTATTTCTTTTGGTGAAGAGATTAACTTTAGGTCTAGATATAAGATATGTATTGAAGGCTATTAGTCTTCAGACATTCCTTGAATCCAATACCGATAACACTCATTTAGATTCAACACATGCAAGAATAATCAAATCACACACTTATATCTCAAAATGTGAGATACAATGAAATCAATCACTTTGATGAGGTATAAACAATTTCACGATTAGTATATTTATACATAAGGGAAACAACTCACTCATATAGAATGCTCTACCCTGCTATTTGTGAAAATAAAGGCAACATAGAGACGGTGGTCGCAAGCTTGTTAATGGCTAATTGCATAAGTTAGACCACTAAACATATGCTGGTTTTCATCTTTGATTCTCTCTATTTCTCATTTCTAATCATGGTATCCTCGATTTCATATGATACATTTACATGATGTTGGGTCTAACAACATACAAATATTCATACAAAGTTAACGCTAACATTGCAACATGGGGAGGCATGAACGCTAAGCCCAATTCAACCTTACGTTATTTATATATAACAATAGAATTAATAAAAAGTTAATCTTAAATTAATATCGAGAGGATCTACCAAGAATCTATATAACTATATTTTTTTCCTAACGCATAAATCACTATACGTGATTAACGAGGAGTGTGTAAAACTGTAAATAGTGTCAAAAGAGCAAACATTACAAAATTACAGCGTTGTTACAAGTATATTCATTTGATACACACAAAAGTGAGATCATCAAATCCAGTACACAGCTTCAAACAAAAAAAACCTGTACACAGTAAAAGTCACAGTAAAATTTATTTGCAACAACCCAGTTCCCTACCACCAGTAGCTCACAATTCAAAATAAAAATAAAAAGATTATGGCAAAAGCCAGTCTAAAGTAATTATTGCACATGAATATATATAAATTAATATAATTGTACAGTCATACACATTATAACTAATGATATTCCATATATAATAGCTTGCAATCAGCATGAATAATGACCACGAGAAAAATCACTATATTAGGAACTAACAAAAATTCAATAAGTCCCTCCATCCCATTTAGAAGTGCTCGTTCTCATATTTCACGGGTTTTAAATGGGGTTTAAATGCAAATGAATGAAGTATAAAAAGCATGTACAATTTCTTGTTTTTTAGTAGAGACAATAATGAAAAGCATGTGTAAAGTACATATGGGTTTAAGGGCATATAGGAAAGTCTAGTATGTTAAAAGGTATAAAGTGGGGGTATATACAGGCGCTTAATTTTGGGACACCCAATTAGGAAAAACAGGCAGTTAAATATGGGACAGAGGGAGTATAAGATAATGCATAGCTTCCTAGAATAACGTCTTACTAACCAACACAATGTAAACAATAAAAAAGTTAGCACACCTCAAATCAGAAACAGTGTTTCGTTGTCTCAACTGAAGTAATTCACTTGCAGCAACTGAAGGTGGCCTTTCATCCTCAGTAATTCTTTCAGTCCTCAAAAATCTACCTCTGAGCAATGACTGGAATAACAAATCACAAATGACGTTAATAATTTTCTTTAAAAAAAAAATCCTTGAGAAGCGAAGTTGGCAGTGTTTGATCAATCAAGATAAAAAGTTGCCATACTTGGAGAATTATCAAACTTCAAAAAAAATGTGGTGCACAAAACAAATTGCGAAACACAGAGTGGTATCTCTACCTCAACCATTCAAAAATTTCGCAAAAATGCCTGCCAAACATTGGATAAACATCTTCACAGCATTATAAAATCGTTTATAACCCTTTAAATGTCACTACTATACAAGTAAACTATTATAAAATCGTTTATAAATACAAGATGGTAACAGGCATTGACTGCAAGATCCCTCTTGAAAAAGAACCATGTCAAGGAATCACGGGTAATAACAACCACTGACAAAACAAAAAGTGGGTAGAACAAAAGGAATGTGTGTGTGTGTCTTTGGAGGGGGGGGACATAATATTTATCCCTTCTTGATTTTTTAGATTGGCCACACTCCATTTCTTAGTTCCCTTCATGTTATAGCATCTTCCATGCTCCCTGCAACTCTTTCCTTTGTCATAACATCTTCTAACTTTACTCCATCCCTACAATTTGCATCATGCCCCATCACCAGCTATATTGGATGCAGAGATGGAGAGAGAGCACAATCTAAAGAGTCATCTCTCTTCAATCACTGAAAGCCTTAATGTATCATACTTCTTCAGCAACATTTCAGATTTCAGATCTAGATTTAAAATACAAAACGTAAATCTTACAAAGTTAAATATTTCAAAATGTTTATTATTTTTTCAGATGATCGAGGCAGTGCTAGACACACAACTGTTTTTTCCCAGCATTTTTCAATTTTACTAAAGTGTGCCACACTGCAACGTAGCATAACAAGGTGTATAAAGGCCAACTAAGTTGCAGGGAAATCCCCGTTGTCTTAGTGTGCCTTTTTATATACGTTTACAGAAACATCGATCTTGCAAGACATAACTACTTATTAAGGCGAAAATCTAATCGAAAGGGGAGGAGATCAAGATTACAGAACTTAAGGTGAACCAATTATTTGAAATGGAAAAAGAGAAAGGGAATGCTAAGTAAACTATATATATATTTAGAGCAATTCCTTGTCCCTTTCCATGTTACTCGTTACATAACTACATCACAACAATACAAGATTGTTGAAAGTTCATTCTGAATTTCCAAACACTAAATACATTTAGAATTAGGATGAAATGGAACGGGGCCATACCCATAATATAAGAAGGGTGAGAAGGATTGTTGAACCTCAGATTCAAAAACCAACACATAAGTATAAATGATAGTAACTGAGGGACCATCTTTTTGTTACACCTCTATTTCATTTTTCATTCAATTAATTAACATCCCCCCGCCCCAGCCTGAACAATTATTATTCAGAGATAACATTAACTGAATGAGCACAATAAACAAGACAAGAAATATTTTGGCTCCTCATCAGCTTGCCATTTATTTAAATTTCATTACAAAACTTCTACAATAAACGCTTAGCAAGTCTTTTAGAGCAATCAGCCACATCAAGAGTTAAGACACAGCCTAGAGTCCCTGGACTCCCATGATGGGCAGCAATGGGGAATCTACAACACTGCACAAATGTTAAAATTATGCAACTCGGTAAAGGGAAGGCCTACTATCAAAAGAAATAGAACCCCTCTAACACAAAAAAATAAATAAATAAATAAAAATAAAGAGCTCATTTATGGTGCCACAAACTTCGTATTAGGATATCTAATGAAATCGGTCTCCTAGAAGTGTAGGTGAAAACAGATGAACTTTACAGTATTTACAAACCCGTTGACTGGTATGGCTACGTCAACATGCCAGGAGACCCACACAGGCGTTTGTGGAATTAACATATAAACATAAGCCATGAGGCAGATCTTATAATCAGTTTAACTCTCCAGATTCAACAATGCTAATGATACATCTCATACAAGGAACCATGCTATATTATGCTAATATATATTTTTATACACTTGTTGATGTGGTAGCATCATCCTCCATACAAGAGCTGCTACATAGTGTATCATTAAGTAAATAAGATCACTAAGGCACTGTTTGGTTCAACTTATTTGAGCTTATATCAACTACTAAATTTCAATGTAATAGCAAAATTTATAAGAGAGTTTGTCAAAATTTAATTTCACTTATCTTGTCGAATCTTAACTACTACCTCCCCATCAAATTATCTGCAACGATTACATTGAGTGTGAGTAGAAAATGTCTAATCGTTGCATATAATTTGAAACAGAGGTAGTAATTTTTTTCTGAAAAAATTTACAATTAAGTTCAATCATTCATTTCCAAACATGCATTGTCCAAGGGGGTAGTCTTAGATATCTTTGAGTAACATTCATATCAGTGTTAAAGAAGAAAATATGCATAAGGGGTAGGTAGTCTACACCTAATCATAATATTCAGATTCTCCTTGAAATAAAAACGAATCTACACCAACTATGTTTCTGGACAAGAGGTATGTACCAGACGATGCCCGAACACACAACAATATACTTCCTTCATTCTTTTTAAATCGCAATGTTTGAGATTTTGCACTATTCACACGAGCTACTTTAACCACCTTTTATGAATTTTACGTTAGGAAAAACAAGGTCAGATAAGATCTTGTTAAATTCTTATAGTTTTTATTAATGTATAATAAAATATATTAATGATATAAAATGTACATTGGCAAGCATGAAAACTCCAACATCACAATTAAAAAAGAATGGAGGAAGTATAAACTAAGGATCATGTTAATGTGGATATGAAGAAGTTTGAAAAAACTAAGTTGATCTTTTTAAATATTGGCATTGGTTTATCTTGTTGGTTAAAATAACATTAGCATTATTATAAGGAAGGATCATTAATGTATTTTATGAGCTGTAGGATATAATAGAAGTCATGTTAGGGTTTTATTACTATTAGGGTTTATGTATAAGAAATTGTATTGCATTATAATTAATTTTCGTGAAGATTACAAATTTTGAGTTTATTCCTTTATGGTCTGTTTGGTATCAAGGATTTCATTTGAAATTCTGATTTGGGCCAAATGAGTTGTTTGGGTAATACAAAAATTTGAAATTCTGATTTGGGCCAAATCCAAGCCATGAAATAATTATATCCAAATCAATGAATTGCAAATTCTATCTCATAAGATGTCATTTCAAATTCTCACAGGTAAAAAAAATTACCCCAATTTCTCTCTCCTAGGTCTTTTTAGGTTTCCCCAATTTTTTTTCTCTCTCCTCCATTGAAGCAACTTCTTAGCTCTCTCTCCTCCGTCGATGTACTCTGTATTACTAAATACTGAAGATTCTATCCTCCATTAAAGCAGCTTGTTTGCGTTCTCCTCGATCGAAAAGTTACTAAGGGTTTTTTTTTAAAAAAAAAACAATTTTCTGACCACCGACCACCATTGATATGTTAATTTGAATCACAATTTGGGTTGATTGATGTCATAATCTAAATAATGACCGTAGATTTTGGTTGATTGATGTCGATTTCTCATCTAATTGGGTCAACAATTTGGGGATTTGGATGAACATGAGGAGGAATGAGATTTGGATGAACAAGCTGGGGGATTTGAATGTCAGGGAGAGTAGAGCAAGGAAGAGAGAATTTTGATAAATTTGAAATTCTAAGTTTTTTCCAAACAGAGAATTTGGAATTGAATGTCATTAATACAAATTCCAAATTTGAAATTCTAGATTTCAAATGAAATGATTGAATCCAAACACAACCTTATGGAATTTACCCGGCATTACATAATCATTAATCTTATTTTCAAGAGTGATTAAGATTATTGTTATCAATTACTTTTATTTTAGGGTCAAAATTCATATCATTCATTCCATGCTGATGCTATGCAATATAAGGTAACTTTTGGAAGATTTATCAACATCAATACATCATGATATGTATCAATATATTTAATTTTCCTTCCAAGAGTAGATACATGTAACCAAATAAATGTAAATTTCAATACTTGTCATAATTCAATTTATTTTAGGGGCATTAGAGCATAAAAAATGGTTAGTTGATTTCAAACTAAGATCTTTTTATATTGTTTATGAATGTCTAATTGTTAGTTTTTCCAAGAAAGGATCTTAAGCTTCCAACATAATTTGTGCATACACATTTTCAAAGAATCATTATTATTAAGATATGAAGTGTTAGAGCTATTTAACTGATTTATTTCAAGAATTAGTGTTGCCTTCCTACTTTCATTTAAGAGAGTTATGGATGATTATAAATCTATAAACTACCCCTAAATGCATGTGATGCGTATGGTTGGTTGTTTGAAATACAAAGTTTGTAAATCTAATTTTTAAGCATACTAAGGCTTTATTGTCTTCACTTTATTCATATAATATATACTTCAATAAAAATAAGAAATTTGGCAAAAACGAATTAACTTCAGCAAAAAAAAAAAAAATGTTCACATCAATAAAAGTAAGTTATAACATGGCAATATTGTTGATTAAACTTATTTAAATTTGTAAGATTATATCCATATTCTTTAGGAAAAATTGTCAAAAATAATACAAACTTTCACCCATCCGCTAAAAACAAGTCGAACTTTCGAATTTTCCAACATAATACAAACTTTAAGGAGCATCCGCTTTAAACAGGTCATAATGTTGCAAACTTGATTAATAGGTATATGAGGCACGTGTCTTTGTTTAATTGGTTGGACAATGTAATATGATTTTTTAAAAAATTTATTTAATATTTTTAATTTTTAAAAGATATAATTTTATTTTAGGGTTCAATCAAATTATTGTTATTGTTATTGTTGTTATTGTTATTGTTATTGTTATTGTCACCCCTTTCTCTCGGCGCTCTACTCTCTGCTCCAGCCGGCGCACCAACCGGCAAGGGGGCGCCCCATATATCCCTACCTCCTCCCTCTCCCTTCCCGACTCCAAGTTTCTCTCTCCACACTCATTCTCTCTTAACAATCAACAATGTCATTGCTCTTCTTCCGAGACAAGAGCTCACTCGCCGATTCCAAACGCGAAACCATTCCACCACCACAACCACACCTACTATCCCAACCAATGTAATCTTCTCTCTCCTCTCCCTTCGTTGTCGACCTCACTTCCTCCCTCTCTCCTCGACCTCCGCTCCACCGTCTACGAAATCTTCTTTGCAGCTTGCCGCACTTCCTCCAACTTCCTACGGTTGGGGATTTCAGGGACGGAGCAGGACAGTTTCGTGGTTTTTTCGTGGGGAAGGAGGCGATTTTGTTGCTGGTGGTTCAGGGGAGGGAGGACAACGGTGGGGTAGGAATAGGTGGCGTCCGTGGCGAGGGCCGTCGCGACAGGGTGGCTAGGTTGGCGCCGCTGGGTGTAGGGGGAAAGGGGTTGCTGTTGGTGAGGGAGGAGGGTCTGCTAGTGGTGAGGGGTGAGGTTTTTTTAATTAATTTTTTTCAATGGTTTGTAAAATTATTTTATTGTTAATTAATTAAGGTTAATGTTTTTTTTTAATAAACTATAGTAATTAAAGTTTTAATTACCAGTTAATTAAAATCTTAAAATGAATTTTTCAAATTAAAAAAAAAGGGTTAGCCGGCTATATAGGTTGTAGGTAAAATATCTCGTTTAAAGCGAATGCCCCACAAAGTTTGTATTATTTAGAAAAAATCGATAGTTCAACTTGTTTTTAGCGGAAGGGTGAAAGTTTGTATTATTTTTGACAATTTTTCCTATTCTTTAAGAGCAATCTTGACATTTTAACTAAATCTCTATTCACTTTTTGTCTCAAAAAAAAAGCTCTATTCACTTTAGTTAAAATAATTTCACTTCAGTAAAAATAATTTCACTTTAGTTCAATAAAAATAATTTCAGTTCAGTAAAAATCAGTAAACTCAAAGATTAAATATAATAGGAAATCAGTACAAATAATTTCAATTCAGTAAAATTAATTTCAATGCAGTAAAAATAATTTCAATTCAGCAAAAATAAGGTGAAGTGAACGGGGGCCTAATTGGGAGTTCCATTATAGAATAGAGAAAATCCTTAGGAGTTGTGACTATTCATTGTAAAAGTCGTTACGTGTGTTTAATTGTGACCTAAACCATGAAATTATATTGATATTGGCAATGAAACCAAATGAGAGATTATTGAGTTAAAACTTAATTCAAGCTTAGGTACATTGGTTAGGTGAGTGAAACTAAATCCATGTGAAGCTTTTGAATTTAAGATAGAACCCTTTGTTGAAGATTGTGAAAAGCTAAATTAAAAAACATCAAGTCTTGTTTATATCATAATACTATCAAAATTTGTATAGAAGCGTGCTTATTGATGTACAATATTGAATTTATAACATTTTTACATACTTCATTTACAAGTACTCAGAAACATCTTCAACCTTGGAATTTTCCTCACTATAAACCAAGTTATACCCAAGTACCGAAGGTTGTTACTTTATCGACAAAAATTTAAAATATGCTCATTAGTGAGACTCTCTTGCCATGTTATAATCCCCAATTTTTATGACTTTCTTAACTTAAAAGCCTTTTGCATGGAACAAAACATTGCAATTTCTCAATTGTACTTTTGACACACTATTACTATTCACCATAGTTCTTCATATAATTGCTAATCCTTTTAGCTATTGTGTGATTACTCACATATAGTATATTTCTTAGAAAAAGATTTGCACAGCCTATTCTATGAAAAATCTCATATATCCAGTTATAAAGACTAAGTCACATTTCTTTAGTAGAGCTAGGCCTGCAGAACATATAAACATTTCAACTCAAATTAAGTCTAAATTCAATTTATTACAGCAACCAAATCTCTATTCTAACTCTCTCTTCAGCATTCCAAGTAAGATGAAGATAAATAAATCTCAGTTCTCCTTGTCAACAGCCTTCCTCTCCTACAACTGAGGAAAAATTAGTACTTAGTCACAATTCAATTTGAATTTTAGCATGTTTGAGAAATTTACATCCAACACAATATCTGTAAAACCTACAAGCATCAGTCTCCAACTCTCCATAATTCACTGCGCTACATTTTTCTAAAATCACTTCCTGGTTTATAGAAGCTGCCATGTCCAGCACGAAATGAAAAATCATTATGTGTAACAGCATGATCTTGAATAATATTAGTTCAATTTTGGTTGATCAGATAATTAGTGTTTTGACCCTATATCCTCATCACATATTATAAACGTGGGCACAGCACTCTACTTATAAACAATTAGGATTTCATTTCATATACATTACAGAAAGCAGAACAGCTCGGTGACTGACTGACTGACCTGAATGCGATTACGATGAGCAAAATCTGTAACAGCCCGCTGATCTAATAAACCCTGAAGCTCTCTCTGTCTCTCACGTTCTATTCTCATAAGCAGGTCTATTAAAGCTTGCCTTCCACGTAATCTCAACAAATCTCTCCGAATGTGCTCTGTCTGACCTTCTTCCTGGCGAACAAGGCCACCATGAACCTGATTGACTTCGGCTCCTAATCCAACAAGTTGAGCTTCCGTACGTCCTCCCCGTGTTCTTTGCTGACTTGATGTATGCACCCACTCTCTCACAAGCCTCACCCGTTCACGTTCAGTCTCACCAAGCCATTCTCCTCTAGGGTTATTAATCCTCCCTGTGGCATCCGAAGAGCGTTCACTTATCCCACTCTCCATCCATCCACGAACAATCTGTCTCACCCTTTCCCTCTCCACTTCACCAAGATCAGGAGATTGCTCTCTGCTAGAATGATTAGTATTCCCTTGTGCGTTGCGGATCTCCATCTGATCATGAGACCAAGCCTCAAAATCATGCTCACTCTCACTTGCATCCTCCACACTACCCTGATTCTCATCTGCTCTACTTTCCGACATTGTTATGGTTGAGACATCAGTATTGCTATCCATGCTCCTTTGATGCCTCAGTCTCTCCCTAACCCTCTCTCTAGCACGATTCAACTCATGATCATCCTCCAATTCTCGCCACATTTGCAAGATAGCAGAAGCCCGAGTACTTGGCCTTTCCACCACTCCCGACCTGCGTGAATTTGGAGACTGAGATTCCCTCAAAAAAGAATAATCAAGCATGGAAACAGGATGCAAGCCTGCAAGAGCCATCAACTCCGACTCCCGGTTCCGCCTCTCAATAGTGGTAATCATCTCTTGTGCTTGCCTCGCAGCCCACCTTCTTGAGTGCCGTCTCCTAGCAGCAGAAGACTCTGCTAGATCATCCCCTTCAAGATCAGACCTCCGCCTTCTACGCACAAGCTGATCACTCTCCTCATCCTCATCCTCAGTATTTCGGGCTGAGCTACAGGTGGCGTATGACATACAATCATCCAAATGCCCACGCATAAGCTCCTCTAGTCCACGCTCAAAATTTGCCCGAGCATCAGTCGCACTCTCAGCCTTTTGCTGCAATGGCCGGACATCCGTCATCTTCAACAAACCACACACACACTACACCCAAACTGCCTTAATACACAACCTCAAAACCCCAACCTTCTACGGCCTCGATTCCAGTATACAACAAAACAACCCCTCTTCACACCAACAATTCAGGCTAAAAAACCCATATAATCACAATAATCATAACAACAAAAAACGCCAATTCTTAAATAAAAATCAATAGTATTTACAAAAGCAACAGCAGCACTCTAAACATACTTTGATTCATCGTTCAAAACATATAACCTGATCAAATTGAAACCAGAAAAAAAAAAATGTCAAGCCCCAGCTCAAAAATTAAGCAACCCAGAATCAAATCTCTGGTTATGAATCAACCCATTAACCAAATTTATTCCAACAATCATCAATTTGAATTTAATTTTTTTTTTTTAAAAGCGCTACTTTATACAAAATTAGGGCACTCGACAATGAAGAAGCGTACCTCGGAAGCCGTCTTCTTCTCAATATCAATTCGTATGTATAGTATTGAACAAACCCAAATCCCAACATATCAGCTTTTTAAAGTTCGAAGAATTGAACAAAAAATCTATAATGGATATCACAGAGAGAAAAAAAATATATATCAAAGAAGTGGTGTTATAAAAATTCAATTTAATTATTATTGTAAAATAAATAATTAGAATTATATGATAGAATTTGTGTTTGATTAATTCTTTCGGGTTTTTTGTTTTTTTTTTTTGGTGTGTAAAATGATGAGGTTTGGTTTTCGTGAAGGAGACCGGCGATCTCTCAAAAACCAAAAAAGAAGACAGGAGACCTGGGAAGCAGGGGTGGAAAGAGAGGAGCGTCGATCTTCGGAGTACCAAATGATCTACACGTCATGGAATTTTTTTTAAAACAAAACTTATTTATTCATTACTATAAAAATAAGTAAATACAAACTTTACAAAAAAATCGAGTGTACAATAATTATTGTACATCCACTATAAAGATAGATTAGATTGATCAAAAGTTACCCCTAAAATAAATAAAAGTTACCCTAATATGCATAAAATTAATCCAATACAAAAAAAAATTATTAGTAAAGAATCACATTTTAAATGACTAAAAATCAATCATTTGTGATTAAATGTAATTAAATTACCATTATAAAACTTTTCTTATTGTCTATTTATATAAAAATTGTATTATGTTAAAAGTTACCCAAAAAAAGGCAAAAAGTTATCCTAAAATTAGATAAAAGTTACCCTTATACTGCTCAATGTACAGTAAAATTAGTGTAAACCGGGTGTATACAAAAGTTTTTAATAAATAAATAATGTTTATTGAACATTGCCAATTGTGGTTTTCCATGTATGTAATTTGCTACATTAGTTCCGTGCGATGTACGGTTTTAGTAATTAAACTTGTATTCCCTTTTTTTTCTAAGTTAAACTTGTATTCTTATTCTTATATGTTCGTAATATAAATAATTTAAGAAAAATTGAACAAGTATGGAGTAATGATTTCTCATAATTAAATTGAGCAAAAAAAAAATGATGTTAAGTATTCTTTTTTTTTTTTTTTTTTTTTTGCAAATGAGGGGCAAAGCCCCGGAAAGAAAAAATACAAACTAAGCAGGAATTAAACGTGGCAAGGCCACACCAACAATATCAACGTGAATAATACGTCCTAACTCGATAGGAGGGAATTGAATCAACTCAATATTGTTGTTCTGGGTGACCCCTTGATTTGCTAGCCAGTCCGCGGCTCCATTTGCTTCTCGATAAATATGAATAACTTCCACTTGCCAGTTGGTATCTTCGATCAATTGCTGACAGTGTCTTATGATGTTATAGCCTTGACCTCTAGCAACCTCTTCATTTCTTAGAGCTGTAGCAACTAATTGGCTATCAACCTGCATTTGGAGCTTCGCAACACACATTCTCTTTGCCAGTTCAATGCCATATTCCACAGCCTTCAATTCATCCATGAATGCATCACAATGACCAACTTTCAAAGCATAAGCATGGAGCATCCTTCCAGTATAATCACGGATTAATCCACCACTTCCGGCTGGACCTGGAGCTCCCTTTGCAGCTCCATCTGTATTTAATGCCAGCCAGCCGATAGGGGGAGCAATCCATCGAACTAGAATTTCATTCCTTGTTCTATGACATTGAGAGTTTGAGTGGTTATCCTCCCCTAAAATACGCCATACCTCTTCAAATCTTGCGAGGAGGAATTGATTTATATCAAAGGGAATATCCTGTGTCCTATCAAATACCACATTATTTCTCCACCTCCAAATCCACCATAATGTTATTGCAAAGTATGTTGGCCAAATTTCTGTTGAGAGATTACTTCGAACTTGATGCTTAATGTTCTTTCCAATCCATTGTTGCAATGAGCCTTGGTAAAAAGTAGGACTTGCGGCTGGGCCTCCAACTTGACGCCACACTTCCTTGGCAGCCTGACAATCACGAAGCACATGAAGAGTGGTTTCTTCAAAGTTAGAGCAAGTTTTGCACCAAGGTGAATTGGTAAGGTTACGCTTGAGTCTATTAGCATTTGTCATTAAACGATCGTGCATAGCCAACCAAAGGAATACTTTAACTCGTTACTGCACCTTTAGTTTCAAAATTAAGTTCCACGAACCGTCATCACCTAATACATCCTCACGTTTGATGATTCTCATAGCTGATTTGATGGTGAATCTTCCTTTCGAAGCACCACCCCAGTACAATAAATCACACATATCATGGTCCTTTCGCAGAGCATGAGCTTCGATTAGTCTAATAATATTCGGAGGTAGCAAGTCAACGAATGCATCCCACTTCCACCCATTTTCTTCATCCCACATTTCTTCCACAGTTGCGCCATCTAGATGGTCAGGTATATCCAATAGAGCAGCTGCACGCAAAGGCTTGGGCATAGCCCAATTGTGATCCCAAAAGAGTGTCGAAGCTCCATTTCCTATAGCCACCCTCGACCCTGCCGAAATAAAAGTTGAATTTTCGGTGATGCCACGCCACACATTCGACATATTTGACTTAGGCTCAAACATATCGATGTCACATCTGCCTTTACAATATTTTGCATGTATCACACGGGCCCAAAGTGCATTTGGTTCAATCAGAACTCTCCATCCTAATTTGGTTAGAAAAGCCGCATTTGTTTGCCTAGTCGACCTTATCCCCAAGCCACCCTTCTTCATTGATTTTTGTAGAAATTCCCACGAAATCAGATGAATTTTCCTGTGTTCCTCATCTCCACCCTAGAAAATCTATGGATCTTTCTATCAATGTCGTCACAAATTGAATTTGGAATCTTGGCAGTTTGCATTGCATACGAACTCATAGTCGTCAAAGTTGTTTTTCCTAGAGTTATTCTTCCAGCCAGAGAGATATATTTCGATTTCCATCCTGCAAGCCTACGTTCTATTTTCTCACACAAATAGGCAAATGTATCCCGAGTCACTCTACTAGTAAGAGTGGGCATACCAAGGTACATACCCAAGTCATTCGTCTCATCAATACCCAAGGCATGGTAGATTTCAGCAATTTTCTCTAAATGCATATTTTGAGAAAAATATACTCTTGATTTTGGATAACTAACCTTTTGACCCGATGCACTACAAAATCTAGCCAAACACTCTTGTATTACAATCGCTTGCTCCACATTTGCCTCCGCGAATAAAATTATATCGTCAGCAAAACAAAGATTAGAGATCTTTGGACCGTTTCTACTAGCATAAATAGGCTTCCATCTATCCGCAAGAATTGATTCCTCAATTATTTGATTTAATCTTTCCATGCATAGCACAAAAATATATGGTGAGAGAGGGTCACCTTTCCTAATACCACATCCCGGTTTAAAAGCTGGAGTCGGTTCCCCATTCCATAACTTTCATAGAAGAAATCGTAATGCATTCCATTATAAGTTCAGTCATCAAAGGGGGAAAGTGAATCTTATACAGAGTATCTCTAATAAAGTCCCAACTTAAACGATCATATGCTTTTTCAAAATCAATCTTGATTGCCATAATACCTTTACCTCCTTTTTTCTGCTTCATTGTATGAATGACCTCTTGTACAATGACAATATTATCAGTAATTTGTCGTCCCGACACAAAACTATTCTGAGTGCAAGAAGATAAGTGTGGCATCATAGGCTTGATCCTGTTGACTATAGCCTTTGTAATAATTTTGTACGCTACATTACAAATGCTAATGGGTCAAAATTGCGTTGCAAACTCTGGAGTATCAACTTTAGGGATAAGAACAATAAATGTCTCATTTAGATTTTCTGGAAAACCTTTCCCATTCAATGCATCAAGAGCAATTTTATACACATTCTCAGCTACTAAATCCCAGTGCTTCCGAAAAAATAAAGCCTGAAAACCGTCCGGAACCGGAGCTTTCATCGAGCCCATTTCAAAAACAACCCTTTCAACCTCACACTTTGCAAAGGGTTTCGATAAGCAGTTCCAATCCCTCTGAGTAAAGTCCGGAAAAATTCTAGTTGGCAAAGGGCCGAGAGCTTGTTGTTCTTCTGCTGTAAACAGGTTTTGGAAATATGAGACTATGTGTTGTTGGATTTTATCCTTCTCGAACATCCATTCACCACTATTAATATCTTCAATGGTAGTAATGTTGTTCCTCCAACGTCTAGAAATGGTGCTAAGGTGAAAGAACGATGTATTACGATCCCCATCACGAATCCATTCTATTCTTGATCTTTGATACCAAAGAAGTTCTTCTTGCTCAAGTACCTCATCAAGTTCTTTACAAAGTTTTGACTCAAGCTTAATGAGGTCTCTCGATCTTTGCTCTGCTAATGATTTTTGGACCCTTGTGATTCGAGCAAGCAAATTTCTCTTTTTCTTAAAAATATTGTGGAATACTTCTCTATTCCACTCTTGCAGATCATTTCCAACTTTTTTCAATAGCGGTACTAAGGGACTCGATTTAACCCATTTACTCTCCAGAAAAACACGGAAGTTGTCATGGGTTAGCCAGGCAGCCTGAAACTTGAAGGGTTTATTGATTGAAGCAATAGGAGCAAAACCTTTTGGTTCCATCAAAATCGGACAATGGTCCGACTGTAGAGCTGGGAGGTTTTTAGCAGCCGCGTTAGCAAACCTGAGGCTCCACTCTGAGTTACACAGGGGCTCCATTCAGACGCGCACTGATGCGAGTCTCTATGGTATTACCTCTCAACCACGTGTGCTTTGGTCCACAAAATTCTATTTCAAGGAGGTCCATACTTTCCACCCATTCATTAAACTTAGCAGTGCGACGCGTAGTCTCTTGACAACTTGAACTACACTCGTGAGCAAACCTCGTTTCATTGAAGTCTCCTGCTACCAACCAAGGTTTATTATAAGTTCTAGCAAACTCTTTAAGTTCATTCCACATATCAGTTCTTTTAACCGGGTCCGGGCTTGCATACACCGCAGTGAAATACCACGGCTCCTCACCCACCCTTCTAATATTCATAGTTATATATTGATTATGTTGGTATATTGGTTCCACTGTAACTAAGTCCGGTTTCCAATATACCCAAATACCACCACTAAAACCTTGAGCATCTACCCTTTTATGACCCGTATAACCAAGAATACGAGAGATACGTTCAACTTGATCACCTCCCATATGAGTTTCAATTAGAGTAAGGACACTTGGTTTATGATTCTTAACTACTTCCCTTAGTGCACTTATGAAAGCACGACTTCTTGCCCCTTGAACATTCCATACCAAGCATGAAATTGATTGGGAACTTGGAGCTAAATTAGGTATAGTATCTTCCATTAAAAGAGGCATAGAAGGTAAAGAACTTACATAAGCACCCGAGATTAGTTTCATCAGACGGCTTGTTTCATTGGGTATCATCAAAGTTACCACTAGGTCCTTCGGCTCCGGAATCGGCTCCATCCATGACTCCATTCTCACCTCCAAGACATTCGTCAGGGGGTCGGCTATGCCCAAATATGGTATCTCCATAGGTTGACCAACGCAAAGAGTTTTGTCCGTCGGAATCATCAACTGAACAACAACCGATGGTGGGGGAAACGTGGGTGAGTTCCTTCGATGGTTCATCTTGTAACACACAACCTCTACTTCTTCTGTTGCACCCTCTTTGTTCTTCTATGAAGCAGTCCTCACAAAATCCACACTATTATTTTCTTTTCCTAGTTTATTTTTGGTAGCAAAAAATTGAGTGGCTTCTTTTAAATTATCTAAATTCGTAATTGGAGCAAGAGGCTTGGGATTTGTAGTGACAATATTTTTAGCTTTGGCAGAATCTTTTTTTTTAAAACTTGACTTACTTCTGTAGGGAATATTTCAAGCGTTAACCCCTAACTTGAACCCCACTGTGATCATACACTAAAGTACGGTGGCGTCCAAAGAGAAAGAAAATAGAGCAAAAGAGTCGCCAACAAGTTTTTTTAGGAACTTGTAAACCGTTCACGAGGTGAAGGTTACACCCCTTAACGATCCAAGTGATCGTCAACTCCATAAGGTCTTGAACCAAATAGGGTTTGGGGATGAAGGTACAAATCCAACCTAAAAGAGATTGAACCTGCCCTAATAATAGGACTCTACTTTATTCTAATCGTATTCATGTGCGCTTTCTGACTAACATACAATCAATAGGATTAACCCTAAACCTGTTTATCTATGTTGGTTGAATATTAATGCACAAATAAATCTATTATTGGCGATCACTTGAATTATAATCAAAGTAACCCTAAATAAGATTATTAATTATCTTATTAAGCGTGATTACAAGTACAAATTCCCTTTAAACATGTATAAAAGGTGTGATCAAGCAATAACAATAAATATCAAGCAACATAATAAATAATCAATAATAATAAAAATCATAATCATAATAATCATAATAATAATTATAACCATAACAATCATACTTAAAAATAATCATCATAACAATAATTATAACAATTATAATCATAAATCATAAAAATAATCATAATAATGTTAAAGCATAATAATAGCAAGATCCTAGGCATGATACTAACAAGATTAATAACAAACTCTAGCATGTCATTAAGCAATAAAAATCAAAACTTAAGCCCTAACATGATACTAACAATCATAAATATTAGGAAGAACATAAAAGGCATCATAACCATCATACTAAGTATTAAAATTACCCTAGACATGATACTAGGAATATCATAATAACAAACTAAGCATGAACTCTATATCATAATATCAATTAAACCATTAAAGTACTTACTTTGATGTCTCGTACCTCTTTCTAATAACAAAATACACACGTTAGTAACTTCAAGGAAAATAATAAAACAACAATTAAATTAAATAATAATTGAAAGAGATATTTGGGACCAAACCCTCAAAAATTAAACCTTTCACGTCTAGGGCGAAGGCAACTTCGAATATGGCTAGGTGTTTCTAAATCTTGCGAATGCGGAATTTTTATATTTGAGAGAAGGCTAGTTTAGAAAAGAGAGAGAGATAGAGAGAGAGAGAAATCAACAAAACTTGATGAGAGTTGGTGAAAGAGAGAATAAGAATTGATGAGAATTGGTGGATGAAAACGGAGTTTTTAGGAAGCTATTTATAGAGAAATTCAGCCAAAAAGATAAAACATCAAAACAGAGTTCTGACGCAAATAAAACAATGTTAGCGCCAACGCCGGCCATTGGCGCCAAGCGCCAAGCGTAGCGCCAGGCGCTACAGCCGACGTTTGGTGCTGACTCAGAAATTCACGCGTTTTCTTAAAATCAGATAGAAATTACCGTATAGGAGGATAAAATTCTATTTTCCTCAAAAACGTTCTTTGATTCTGATTAAAAACTCTAAAAAGTCAACAAAAGTCAATTTATCAATGCTAATTGAATTAGGAATGAAAAGAACCTTATAGAAGAATCTAGAAGACTAAAACCATTCCTAATTGCATTAGGAATGATAAATCCATATTAGGCCCTCCTCTAGATCATTGGGCCGCATATAAGGCTCAAACCGGGCCCAGTTTAGTAATTTGGCCATAACTTCCTCAATATTCATCGGAATTTGGCTTATAATATATCGTTGGAAAGCTCTTTTCAAACCCCATCCAACTACACTATTATTGGACCCATATCATGGACCAACCAAACTGGATTGGCTGTTTTCTCAAAATAGTTTTTCAAAAACAGAGAGAAAAGAAAAGAAATTAAAACTATCCGCAACACTAAACTTTCCACACTTTCACTTCATTCGATTATGATTCGACGTGAAAGGCACTCATCACTGGGTTTGGTTTTGGGGAGACACAAATGGGTGTCTACAGAAGCCCCCACTTTGACTAAGTTTTGGAGAAACGCAAGTTTCGAAAACAAAAGTCAAAGTATCGATAGGGACGGAGAATGATTCAGAACGTTCTGCGATTCTTGATCACTCTTGTAACGCCGATACCTGCAAAACTAGCGTTAGTTAAACAGATAAAAGAGTTAAAGAAACGCGTATCTTGCACCGTCGAGCACACGTCTCTGAGAGTAACCGATTTGCTGCCGCATTACTGTTGTTTTGATGACCTCCTGCCAAGAGAATGCCATCCCGCTTGAAAATCGCTACGCTTGTAACTGCTTCCAATATTGAAGATTGCTTCGCTTGAAACGATCCTCTTCCGCTTTGATAATATTCCACGTCTAAGGGAACACTATCGAAGATTGCTTCGCTTGAAACAATCCTCTTCCGCTTCGATAATATTCCACGTCTAAGGGAACATGATCGAAGACAACTTCGCTTGAAATCACCTTTAGTTGCTTGTGACAACTCTCCACAATCTAGGGAACGCCATCTTGCTGTTTCGATGTTCACTCGTCTCTGAACAAAGAGCTTTTGGATATGTTCACGCGCCTCTGAACAAAGAGCTTCTTTTTTAAATATGTACACGCGTCTCTGAACAATAGAGCTTGAAAGGATTGTCCACGCGTCTCTGAACAAAAGAGCTTGAAAGGATTGTCCACGCGTCTCTGAACAAAAGAGATTTGAAAGAAATGTCCACCTGTCTCTGAACAAAAGAGCTTTGAAAAAAATGTCCACGCGTTTCTTAACAAAAGAGCTTGAAAGAAATGTCCACGCGTCTCTGAACAAAAGAGCTTGAAAGAAATGTCCACACGTCTCTGAACAAAAGAGCTTCGATACTTGAATTTTTGTTGCGATAATATTCTGAAGACCAACGCTTGTCGATCTTTAAAGCCCGCTTGAACTTTGCTTCCGCTATGCCGGTACGTCGGCGGTTTGCTGCTTGTGAACCATTATGTCGGTATCTCCGTGATGAGCCAATGCTTAGGCGCTTTAAGCTAAGTGAGATGATCTTTCGTCAGGTCGATTACTTATTGCGACTGTAATCAAACCGACTACTTAATCATGTCAAATTGCTTATAGGGGCTAACTGGCGTACTAAGGTACCCTAAATTGCTGTATGAGGTTGAAATCACCTTTCTGAGAGGCTTCGAGCTCTGTCGCTGCTGAAACATCTCTGGCGTCAAGAATTGGCTCTGTCGCCAGACACTGGGATCTAGCGTTAGGCACTGAAACCTGCTGCCAAACGCTAGATGTTGTCATCTGGCGCTGGAGTAGAGTCTTCCCTATTCTGCTGCACCTGTATTTATTTTTGACTATAGAACTTTGCTAATATCTTTAATTATCTTAGGGTTGACCTAAGGTTTAGTGTCGCTTGACTCATTGACTTGACATGGCTCAAGGTATAAACTTGACTCGTTGTGATTGGCTCGAGGTTGACTCGATTCGTGTTTGACACATGTGTTAGACCCAAATCAAGGTGATATGACACGACATGACTTAATGTGTACATGACTCGTGTGTGCATTGTAATGTGATCGTGCGACTCGAAAATGCAAAAAAGCAAAAAATTTCCGTCATTTTTGTGGAGGGTACCGACTTTCTCCCGAAAAAGAAAGACGCGAAAAATGAATCAAAGTTTTTGAAGGTGCATGTTGAATGAGCTTAATCAAATGTTGTTTCTCACAGTACAAGGATTGTAACATCTTAGACTATCCTAGTTGACTCGATAATGAAAGTATTT